ATAGTGATTTTGGCGGGAAATCATAAAAATGTTATTCTTTTAATATAATGATAGATGTGGGACAACTCACAAGTGATATTCTAACACGCCCCTTACTTGTGAGTCCTTCATAAAAAGCCCAAGCCCATGTACTGAGTCGGGTGCCCAAGACCTACTAGAAACATGTGGGTAAATGGGTACGTCATTGTACAGTCCCAATAGAACCAGCTTTAATACGATATTAGAACCGGAGGAAGAGAGTGCTCCTTCATAAAAAGCCCAAGCCCATGTACGGAGTCAGGTGCCCAAGACCTACTAGAAACATGCTGGGTAAACGAGTACGTCATTGTACAGTCCCAATAGAACCAGCTTTAATACGATATTAAAATCGGAGGAAGAGAGTGCGGTCCCACAGTGCACCATAAGAGAGTGAGCTTAGATGCACCTTAGTGAGGTTTCATCCCAAAATCAATTGGTGATGTAAGGAGTAGCCCACTAGGCTTATAAACTATGCTTGTTTACCCTATAGAATTACTGTGAGACAACTCACAAGTGATATTCTAACAAAACTGAGATACTTAGAACATATTGATCCATGTTTAAATCACAAATGGCCATCTACACTCCTTGCAATTATAGAAACATATGATCTTCAGAGAACTTGAAAGACTTGGGTCAGCTAGCCCAAAAACTAGGCCCATCATACTAGTTCCCGCTTCCTAGTCTAAATAAGTTTCTTTTTTTTTTTNNNNTTTTTTTTTTTTTTTTTTTTTTAACAAGCGCTAGTCTAAATAAGTTTCTCAACTCTCAATTAGTTCTTGTCGTTAACCATTAACCGGGGTAACCGATCATACTTATTTAGCAAAAATGTATATGGATACTGTGAGATATCATATTTTTGTTTGTCTTGTTTCTTAAAGTATGACATTTCAATTTGTACATGTCTAGGAGAAGTCTTTTTTTTTTTTTTTTTCTCAAACAGCAAATTCTATTAAATTAAATTCAAATAGAGTAAAATCGGTAACCAATTGGTTACAACTTACAAGAATGGTCGTAACCGTCAAGTGACAGAAAGAAACTCATGGAGATAAGATTGTGTTGGCTTTTTTGGACAAGCATTATCGCTTAGCATCATTGGTTTAATTAATTATTTTCTTTATTTATTTATTTATTTCTTTTGTTTATTGTATATTAAGGACATCCTAGATTTGTTAGGAAACTTATTTATTTTATTAATTTTTACTTTAAAGGGCAAAATAATTACTTAGAGTTGGGAGTTTCTATTTAAGAACTCTTCTTCTATTGTTTTGAGGCCAACAATCTATATATATATAATTGCTGGCATGTAGCATTTAATAAAACCTAATAAAATTTCTAAAAATTTTCTTCCATTTTCGGTTACAAATTTTGTCATTAATATTTTTTACTTCTCACATTAATACATCTTAATGAGTGTAAACATGTATGTTTCTATTATATTATATAATAGTTATTGCTAATACCAACTAATAATAATTCACAATAAATATAAATTACATAATTATAAACAATTGTTTCAAGTTATTTATATTAACATCAATATTATCTTTTTCTTTTGTATCTCATGAAAAAATTTCTTTAAAAACAATTAGTAAATTCTTTTAATAGCATAGTCAAACAACTTTAAAAGCTTATAAATAATTATTTTTTAATAATAATAATTAAACTATTATTATCTAATGATAATAAACAATTGTTCATAATAATAAAATCGTTAATTTATTTTTTCTAATGATCAAATTTTTGAAAATGTAACATATTCATTATTTATAATTTTAATATCAAATTCT